TTCGGGATTACTGGACCCTTATATATTTGTCATTAGCCTACTAACGTTGGCAAATATTTGCAGTTTCCAGAGCTCACCACGAGGAGGTTGCAGGCTATGGAAACTCCATTTTGTTTTTTCAGTGCTTAAAGTTTTTTGTTTTTTTTTTTTGGTAGGTTTTCACACTAAAATTTGTTCAGTTTTTTTTATTTCTGTGCAGTTTTTCGTGTGTCTTTTTTATTTTTTAACATCGAGGGTTTATATTCAATACAATCGAATTCAAAATTGCTCATAGCGCTCTGGGCCTAGGGAAAGCATTAAGGTAGAAGAGGAAAAAGTGGGCATGCACGAAATCATTACTCATCTGCAAGCTTCTCAAACCCTTTAATGAAATTTAGTAGTTTGTCAAGAATAGGAGAATATTGATCGTTCGGCTTCCATACATCCATTGGATCGGCAATGATACCTTTGTTGACTATATGTCATCCCCATAGATAGTGTTGCATAATCAGTCGGCTTAAATCTCGTAACTCGCTACTTCGCTGTCTTTGAGGAAATGTAGCTACAATCCTGCCTAGACTTTTTTGTATTACCGCAATGGCTCCTTGAGCTTTGTTTATGAGCTTTCGATATGCTTGGTCCTACAACTGCCATAGAACGCTCAAAAGAATCTCATTAGGTCATTTCATCATCCAGTGCGTTGCGTCAAATACCACTGTGCGCGGTATTTACAAAAATTTTACGTAAATTTTAGTATGGCACTCAAGGAATTACTTGTGATTTATAAAGCCAGTCGTCGGTATAGAAAGCTTTTAACGAGTTCCATAATAGCGTGTCTGGCTCACTTCATTGATCATTTGTTGGACAGCTAACAACACACTTTCTTTTCAAATATACTCCAGGCATCAGTTGGTTATCTTCTAAACAACTATCTGTTACCATAATTATGATCATCGTCTCATAATCCAAAGAGTTCACTTGACCCATATTCTTTGATTGCTGAATCCAGAGGCAGCAAATCCAACCAAGCATTTAAAGGCACTGCTGCGGTGCATTTGAAACATATAAAATGTGGTCTTGACAATGATTCCACGTCATTCTGCTGCATAAGAAACTTTTTGCGCTGGTTTAATAGTTTTATTACCGTCATAGTTGTTTAGGGGCAACTGAGTCCGGAAGTTTTTACGACAGTTTGATTTAAAGAAAAATTAAATACCTAAAATGCATGCTCCACTAGCGTACAAATATTTTCGGAGAACACATCAGGTCCACAAAATGGCAAGCGATGATGGTGATTATAAAAACCATGCGTAACGAACTTTGAGTTTGGTTGCTTATATTCAATTTAAGGTCTAATTTTCAATTTAAGACTTTTAAAATTAATCGCTGCCTAAGCATTCCAGTTTTTCAAACACCCTGTGCGACATTTTTCCAACTTTTATAAATTTTAAAATACACACTGCATATAAAAGTTTTGCGTACATAGTAGTTGTTGTGAATGTCGCATAAGTGACGTTATTAGCTTTTCACGCTCAACTTGACAGCGTCAGTTTTATGACCTGCTTAAAGTAGCTGTATTTTTCAATAAGAGTTGAGTGATGAAATGTGGATGCTTTACAGTGAGTAAGGATATGACTGCTACTTCATTTTTACTGGCGAATATCATAGGGATTTAAATGCATTTGCATATATACATAGTATATTGTTCAGGTAATACTTTATAGCAGCATTTTTGCACAAATAATATTCTGCGTAGAATTGTTACTTACACAAAATTTCACTGGCGGTTTAGATAACTTAAATATCTTTCAGATATTTACAAATGTTGAAGAGCAAAGATGGGAAAAACAAAATAAGTGTTCAGTTATGTCACCTATGTCATATATGATTACACCATGAAAAGTGCTTCGAAAATCAATGGCCTAACCTTTATAAATAGGAAAAGAAACCGTGTTATCACTATCTACTCGTTTTTTTCGGGAACTCGTTAGTGAACTTTAGTTTTCACCGATTTCTAAGACAAATTTACTTCACTTAAATCTTGAATGCCTTGGCAAACTTCAGTCTTTGACAAAATTCAGCCCCAACTTACATTCCAATTTTTTCGCGTGGTTATAAAAAATCAAGAACAGAGGATATCTAAGGTTCTATTCCAGATTCTACTTAGAACAGAATAAAAAAGTTTTAAGTCAAACCTTTTTTTAAATGGCCTGGTAAAAACTAGTATTCGAATATTTTACTGCTAGCGATTTTAAGGTTTATATTCATGCGGTAACGATGTATTGTTAAATATATACGAGAAAAAACGTTTTGAAACTTATTTACAGCGATCTCGATACAATCCTTTATTTTCATGGAAGATGGTTTTCCTACTTTTGAATTAAAAATCATTATTTTGAGCGAAAAATACCACCTAAAATAAGTGTCAAAGTTTGCATGCCGGTTTTCTGAACAGAAAATATTTAGTGATTTTTGCTTTTACTTTTTGAGCGACCTTTGTAATATTTTTTAACTTTTTTGGGGTTTTTCAAGATTCAACCTGATTTTTTTTTGGGCGCCTTCAGTGTACTTTATGCTTTGCCTTATTTAATTTCTGTAGACTTTTATGGACTTTATCTTATTTTTCGTGTTTGATATTTCGGAGACTTTTGAGATTTTTGGAGATTATTTTTATAGACACATACTTTTTTGATTTTATTTCAGGTTTGTTTATGTCGTTAAGCTATTTTCTTATCTTTTTTCAGAATTTTTTTTTGGTATTTTGTCTAAAATTCTCAGTACCGTTTCAATATATTTCGTGTTTTAGTTTCGCAACTTTTCTGGATTTTTTTTTTGAATTTCTTAAAATTTTTCCGAAATTGGATTTTCTACCACTTTTGAAGACTTTTTCATCATTTTTCGGAATTTTTTTGGTATTTTGTCAAAATTTCTCGGGACCGTTTCAATATATTTCGTGTTTTAGTTTCGCAACTTTTTTTTTGATGTTTTTGTGTTTTTTTCTTTTATTGGATTGTCTATTACTTTTGGGGATGTTCTCAGCATTTCTCAGAAAATATTTCGTATTTTGTTGAAATTTCTCTGGGCCTTTCAAAGTTATTTGGAACGTACCAGTATTCTTCGTATTTACTTTTCGAAACTTTATTGGATTTGGTTGGATGCTGGTTTTCAGAATTTTTTTGTTTTTTCTATTTTTAATTTGGTTTTTATCGTGTTTTAATTTTCGAAACATTTTCTAAGTGTTTTTTAAGAATTTTTGGGAATTTTTCGGATTTTCTTTCCTATTACCACGCAATGAAACAACTCACTGAACCAACAATTGTTTTAGATAGCATGCAAAAAATAAAAAAATAAAAAATAAATTGTGTGCCCTTTGTATGCACTTACAAGCTAGTTTTTAAGGTACACTTTTGGATGAATTGTTCTTAACAGTGGTCATTTCGGCGTGATTTGCCACAACGTGGGAAAATTACTATTCATCTTTCTTATAGTGCGTTTTCAAAATTTGATGGAGAAAGCCAGTGTTTTTTTTTAATCTTTTCACAAATATAGCACTACTACAGTTTCCAAATCAGTCTACAAATAAAGTACGTTAACAAAAAAAACACCAATTTTTGGCGAAGTAAGTCGAAATTTTGTATGTCTCTAAAAGCCTCTCAAATAAAGATTTCACGTTCGTGGTTTATAATAAACTTTCTACACATGCGGTTAGATCCACTCAATTGTCAAATATATATTATTTAAATTTTTTATTGCTTTGAGCCATTCATTTGACTGAATTTTTATATGCATAACTTTCTGTTGCCAACCAGAAAGTATTAAATAGCCACACTTGCGTGAAACACTAGTAATCACATCAAGCTTAGTTCCCTAATTTGAATAAAAAATTATAGCTCTTGAATTAACTAGGAAGAAAACTTGCGAGGAGCTTATGCGGCGTACAACGCCTTATAAATTTTTACTGCATTTTTACCGCTCCTATATTGCCACTTAAATCACTCGCGCCTTAGGAGCCATCACTAAAACTACAACATGCCTCAATTAGCTGTCTATACATATCAAGTAGTAAAACTTTACTCATATAAATTTACAAAAGACTGTTAAGCTGCTTAAAAATAATCGCGCCTTAAACATCCTTCCCACCTAAATGTTTACAACTCCCTCTGCTAAGTAAGTACATATATAAAGTTTAGGAGTCAACTCCACAAAGCAAGAAAAGTAATTTGCAGAGTACACAAATAAAAAGAAATGGGCTTAGCAGAATAAAATTGGTGAAGAAAATCAGCGAGCAAAAAAAAAACCTCAGCCAATGCACTCAGCTTCTCGCCCTGCCTGCGACGTTTTGAAGCAAACTTTCGCCAATAGCGTAAACTAGCTAAAACTGGTTGACTTGTGGTGCTTTAGCTGCTCACGCACCCGCATTCAAGTGCCCCTTAGCAGCGTCTGACTAATGACAGTCAAAGTCAGCGCTCCAACAGACACATCTCCCGCTCGCTGCCTCATACTGCCGTAAACTGCGTTCTCACCCCTTTCAAGCTATGTACTCCACACTTGTAGTTGCCCAGCCGGCAGTTGCTGTGGTTGATGATCACGCAAATTGCGTTAAATTTATAGTGAAAACTTTTTAACCCGAAATAAAAACTAAAAACTTGCAGATAAGTTGTGAAAATATTCTGCACAGAAACGACTGAAGTTCTAAAACGTCAAATTGTGCGATGCAAAAACGCTACCTCTCTAACGGGTATGTAGCGCAATGACCGAGACTACTCTATCCGTCAAGTCAGCCTCTTGCGCCACCTAGCCTCTTGCGATTCACTTTTGCGATGCGTTAACGGCTGGCATATTGCGCAGCAAATTGGCCAGTTCGACGCAAAACTTCGCCCATTCGAAAAAGTAGATAATTTCAATGAATGTAGAGATGCTAAACATCGAATGGGTTTCAATTGCTTTAGAGCAGTTAAAACAAGAAGAAGAAAAAGAAGAAGAAGAAATTGTAATAGACGAGACATCAAATTAAAACTTACCCGTGTAAAAATTTCGAACTTTGATGAGTTTCAGCGATGCTCCTTTTCACCTGAAAGTAATTTGAGAGCAGAGCAAAGGAATGCAATTAAATTTTCTGTATTATGTTACATTTTTATAGGCATCTGAGCAGGTAAATACTTTTCCAATTTATTATTTAATAAAATACTTAAAACAAAAAAATGTACGTGTCTGCAATCGCTGCGAGGAAAATCAGTTTTTGTTTTTG